AAAACCCAGGGCTTTTTTGGTAGCAGGAACTCCTTTGCACGTTAGGCCACACACCCCTAATGTAGCCAATCCTAATGCGTTCCTGCTGTTGGGAGTGGCCTATTATGCTAATGAGTTCCTGCTGGGCGTGGCCAGCTCGGGAGCCAGCCGGAACTCCGTTCCTGTGCGTTCCTGCCCAAAAATAGCTCTGGCTGTTTGTGAGAAAGGGTTGCCAACTTCCCGGTGGCAGCCAAAGATCTCCCGCTATTACAACTGATCTCCGGATGACCACGCTCCCCTGGAGAAAATGTCCGTTTTGGAGGGTGCAGTCTATAGTACAATACACTTCAGCGGTTCCTCCACTCCCCGGGCCCCGCCCCCTCCAGGCCCCTCCCCCAAATCGCCAGGTATTTCCTAACCCAGAGGTTGCAACCAGTGTTCCCTCTAAGCTGAGTGAGTGTGAGCCAGCTCACAGCTTTTTTAGCCTCCGGCTCACCCATTTCTGCCTTCGCTCGGGAAGGGTGGCTCCAGAGCAAACTAATTTACGCAGCAGCCCAATTGCTCACTCGCTCACAACTTTAATGCCAGTCGCTCACAAAGTAGGATTTTTGCTCACAAGACTCCACAGCTTCGCGGAAGCGTTGGCGGCTACCCTAGCCAGCGGGAATTCACTTTACAAATGAAACCAGGGATCAGTCCCTAGGTGAATGTGGGGTTTCAAGAGCCCGTTGGGCTTCTCCCAGAATTCCAAAAGATCTCCAGACTACAAGGTCAATTCCACTGGAGAAAAATGGCCGCTTTGGAGGGCGAGTTCTATGGCACGATAATCCACAGAAGTTAGGGTTGCCAGTCTCCAGGTGGTGGCTGGAGATCTCCAGGAGGTACAACCGATCTCTGGTTTACAGCGGTCATTTCCCTTGAAGAAAAATGGCTGCCCTAGAGGGTGGACTCTGCCATTGGACCCCCACTGAGATCTTTCTCCACCCCAAAAATCTACAGGAATTTCCAAAGACAGAGCTGGCAAATCTAATTTGCTGTAACTTGCAAAGAGGGCTCATCTGATCTAGTCGGGGGTGTAAAGGACTGGGTTCGCCACATGGACGACTCTGACCACAACATCCGTTAATTGTACTTCACACAGGAACTGCAAAATGGCCCTGCAAGGCCAACTATATACACACCCACAGTCTCGTTGGAGGGTTTGAATTTCCCGCCACAGTTGCTATTGGTGAATGCTGGGGGAACTAGGATCCTGGGTTTCTATTGCGTAGAGGAGCTAAGCTCTCTACTGTAGCCGCGGACCCCCGGTGGCGGCCCGCGTACATAACAGGGGGCACCGCGGGGATCCCAAGTTTCCTCCTCAAATCGTTTTCCTTTCCTCTTTCCCCTGCAGCCTGGAAGGCCCTCCAGCCTACAAACCGCCTCCGCCCGGCCCGATGGCTGAGGAAAAGGAGCCGGTGAGTATCTATCCCGTTTGAGTATCCCGTTGAGAGTTTCTAACCCAGGTGGGGTTTATCACCCACTGAACAGGCACAGGAGAACGAGACGGCCGGGGTTGGAGACGGCAGAACGGACTGAACCGCCACCACGGGGGGGGGGGGAATTCCCGGCACAGCATCAAAACCTCCATGCGTGTAGAAAGCTGGAGTGGCAGGGGGAGAGGTGTGCCCCCCCCCTCCTGCTTGTCCTGCAGGCCATTTGTTTGGAGGAATAGAAAAGAGCAAGAGCCCGGGAGCAGCTTAAAGACGAACAAAATATGTGGCAGGGGAGGAGCTTTCGCGAGTCGGCACTCACTTGAGCAGTGACTCCCGGGAGCTCACCCCCGACCCGTGCCACAAATTTTGTTAGTCTTGAAGGTGCTCCTGGACCCTTGCTCTTTTCTCCTGCTACAGACAGACTAACACGGCAACCCGTCTCGCTCTGTTTGGAGGACGTTTTGTCGCAGAGGGGAGCCGTGAGGGCTCTTTTTGTAGCAGGTACTCATTTGCATATTAAGCGACACACCCCTAATGTAGCCAATCCTCCAAGAGCTTACAGTAGCTCCTGTAAGAAGAGCTCTGTAAGCTCTTGGAGGATTGGCTACATTAGGGGTGTGTGGCCTAATATGCAAAGGAGTTCCTGCTACAAAATGGGACCATCCATCCGTCATCGCATAGAGGGCCACCCCTCTACGTCTTCGCAACACCCCTATGAGGTAGTGTATCCGGGGAAATGTGTAGCTGCCATGTCAATCTCCCGAGGGATAAAGAGCTGATAAATTCAAGGGGGCGGGGAGGCAAGAGGCCGAGCCGTCAGCTCTTCTGCCCCAAAGAATCCCGCCTCCCTCTCGTTTTCCTGCCTCCACCAACCTACTTGTACAGGGGCTGCATGAACTTTGCGTTGAGGAGGAAAAATGGGGCCGGGGAGACACACATTCTACCACCTGTAAGAACCAAGCCGACGGGTGGCATTTCTCCTTGCACGTTGGGGTTCCCAACCTCCAGGTGAGGCCTGCAAAGTTACAGCCAGGCTCCAGACGACAGAGAATCGGTCATTTGAGAGCCAGTTTGGCGTCGTGGTTAAGTGCGCGGACTCTAATCCGGGAGAACCGGGTTTGGTTCCCCCTCTCCTCCGCATGCAGCCAGCTGGTTGGCCTTGGATCAGTCACAAGTTCTCTCAGAGCTGTCCTCTCAGGAGCAGTCCTCGAGAGAGCACGCTCAGCCCCGCCTACCTCACAGATTTGTCTTGTTGCGGGGAGGGGAAGGGAAAGGAGAACGTAAGCCACTCCGAGTGAAGGGCAGGGTATAAATCCAGTCTCCTCCTCCTCCTCCAGTCTCCCTGGAGAAAATGGTTGGTGTTTGGGACCGTATGGCATTCTACTGCACTGAGGTCCCTGGCTTCCCCAGATCTCCATGAATCTTCCAGCACAGCGTTGGCAACCCCGCTACACACTGTGTCCCGCTGTGCCAGGACTGGGGCAGCTTTGTACAGGGCTCCCTCAGTCTACGCCTCACCCCCTCCATTGCCCTGTCCACGTAGGCCAGTCCCCACCCCCGTGGCTTTTGGTGGAGGTGGGGGTCCAGCACCTGGCGGTGACAAAGCGGAGAAGCAGACGGGCCCGAGGGCTCCGTACTGAGTCACAGGCCTTTGGAATGGCCCAATAAAGCCAGTCCCTGGTGTCCTGCACCAGATCGGGAGGGGGGGGAGGCATTTTGGTCTGGGCAATGAAACCAAGTCTCCAAGCACGGATGCCAGCCTCCAGGGGGGACTTGGGGATCCCCCTGGAGTTACGGCTTCTCTCCAAACTACAGAGATCAATTCCCCCTGGAGGAAACAGCTGCCTCGAAGGGTGGGCTCTCTGGCACTGCGCCCCACTGGAGGTCCCTGTCCTCCCCAGGTAAAGGTAAAGGCTTCCCTTGCTCGAAAGCCAGTCGAGTCCTACTCTAGGGTTGCGGTGCTCATCTCCGTTTCCAAGCCGAAGAGCCAGCGCTGTCCGAAGACGTTTCCGTGGTCATGTGGCCGGCATGACTAAACACCAAGGCGCACGGAACGCTGTTCCCTTCCCACCGAAGCGGTGCCTATTTATCGACTTGCGATTTCTTGCTTTAGAACTGCTAGGTTGGCAGGAGCTGGAACTAGAGACGGGAGCTCGCTCCGTCACGTGGAACACCCGGGTCTCGAACTGCTGAACTACTGACCTTCCACAGCCTGCAGTTCAGCATCTTAACCACTTGAGCCACCGCAGATCCATGTCCTCCCCAGGCCCTGCCCCCAAATCCCCAGTTGTTCCCCAACCTTGAGCTGGCAAGCGTACACCCCAAGTCCCCCACCGGTAGCCCCAGGGGGACCTGGCGACCCTTTCTCCAACCCCCGGAAGTCTTGATTCAGCCATTCTTCTGGCTTCTGAGATTACAGCTCGCCTTTGGGGGTCAGAAGGGGTTGCAGCTTCTTCTTCGGCACACACAGAAACCAACCAACCAATTTTGATAGATGGACAGACGGATGGATGGATGGATGCAGGGGGGGGGTTGTAGAAAAAGCCCAGCAGGAACTCATTAGCATAATAGGCCACACCCAACAGCAGAAACACATTAGCCTATTAGGCCACACCCATATTAGGCCACACCCCACATGTTACCAGAAGGGTGGTCATCCAACCACACCCACCTTTTGCTTCTTATTCTGTTTACTTTGTTGTCAAAACCCTGGGCTTTTTTTTGTAGCAGGGACTCCTTTGCAGGCTAGGCCACACACCCCTAATGTAGCCAATCCGAATGAGTGTCTGCTGTTGGGTGTGGCCCATTATGCTAATGAGTTCCTGCCGGGCGTGGCCAACTCGGGAGCCAGCCGGAACTCCGTTCCTGTGCGTTCCTGCCCAAAAATAGCCCTGGATGGATGGACAGGTGACAGCCCACTGAATTCTGCTCCCAGTACCCAATTCTACAGCTGTGTAGCGCTAGGCGGGAACTGCAGAATAACATATGCCCCTAGAGATGCCAGCCTCCAGGTGGGGCCTGGGGATCCCCTGGAATTACAGCTCATCTCCAGACTACAGAGATCAGTTCCCCTGGAGAGCGTGGATGCTTCGGAGGGTAGACTCTGTGGCATTATATCATGCTGAGGTCCTTTCTCTTCTCAAGCCCCACCCTCTCCACATGCCACCCTAGGGGTGCCAGCCTCCAGGTGAGACCAGGGCATCCCTCCAGAATTACAGCTCATCTCTAGACTAGAGAGACCAGCGCCACGTGGAGAAAATGGATACTTTGGAGGGTGGACTCTGTGGCATTATATCATGCTGAGGTCTTTTTCCTCCTCAAGCCCCACCCTCTCCACATGCCACCCTAGGGGTGCCAGCCTCCAGGTGAGACCAGGGCATCCCTCCAGAATTACAGCTCATCTCTAGACTACAGAGACCAGCTCCCCGTGGAGAAAAGGCCTGCTTCGGAGGGTGGACTCTGTGGCATTATATCATGCTGAGGTCCTTTCTCTCCTCAAGCCCCACCCTCTCCACATGTCACCCTAGGGATGCCAGCCTCCAGGTGAGACCAGGGCATCCCTTCAGAATTACAGCTCATCTCCAGACCAGCTCCCCGTGGAGAAAAGGCCTGCTTCGGAGGGTGGACTCTGTGGCATTATATCATGCTGAGGTCCTTTCTCTCCTCAAGCCCCACCCTCTCCACATGTCACCCTAGGGATGCCAGCCTCCAGGTGAGACCAGGGCATCCCTTCAGAATTACAGCTCATCTCCAGACCAGCTCCCCGTGGAGAAAAGGCCTGCTTCGGAGGGTGGACTCTGTGGCATTATATCATGCTGAGGTCCTTTCTCTCCTCAAGCCCCACCCTCTCCACATGTCACCCTAGGGATGCCAGCCTCCAGGTGGGACCAGGGCATCCCTTCAGAATTACAGCTCATCTCCAGACCAGCTCCCCGTGGAGAAAAGGCCTGCTTCGGAGGGTGGACTCTGTGGCAGCGCACCTCACTGGGGTCCCTGCCCTCCCCAGGCCCCACCCCCAAATCTCCAGGAGTTTCCCAACCTGGATCTGGCAACCCCACTCAGTTTTGGTGGCCCCCGGGGGGGGGACCCGAGTACCCCACCCTGCGTACGAAGAATAAAATCCTCAACCTGTCCCTGTTTGGGGTGTGGACAGCACCACAGAGGTCTTTATCACATTTCTGGGACCAAACAACCTGTGCATGTGTGTTTCTAGCGGTGTCGTCTCTGCGGCCGACAATGAGGAAGATGTCTCTGTCCGAAAGGTTGTTTAGGAAGGCGTAGGGTGGTGGGGGTGATTTTTAAAATTTAACCCACATCCCAACACTTGTGATAAAAGATAAAAAGTAGAGACATCACCCTGCCAACAAAAGTCCGCATGGTCAAAGCAATGGTATTCCCAATAGTCATGTATGGCTGCGAGAGCTGGACTATAAGGAAGGCCGAGCGCCGAAGAATAGATTCTTTTGAACTAGGGTGCTGGAGAAGACTCTTGAGAGTCCCTTGGACTGCAAGGAGATCAAGTCAGTCAATCCTAAAAGAAATCAACCCTGACTGTTCCCTGGAAGGCCAGATAATGAAGCTGAAGCGCAAATACTTTGGCCACCCAATGAGAAGGGAGCCCTCACTGGAGAAGACCCTGATGCTGGGAAAGACTGACGGTCAAAGAAGACGGGGACTGCAAAGGATGAGATGGTTAGACAGTGTCATCGATGCAACGAACATGAAATTGAGCAAACTTCAGAGGACGGCGGAAGACAGGAGGGAGGGCCTGGCGTGATCTGGTCCATGGGGTCACAAAGAGCCAGACGTGACTGTGCGTCTGAACAACAACAACCCCAAATTTTTCATTTCTACTCAGGGGTGGATGGTTATTCCCAGCTCAGGTTGTTCCCCCTCCTCTTTATCCCCCCCCCACCCGCTCCGTCCTCACCACCTCTCCGGTTTATTCCAGGTTCCCAACCCCCCCGAGGCTGACAGTATCCCGCTCAAAACTCCCTATTTTGAACCCAGCGCCACAGACGATCCCTTTGGAGGGCTTATCACCACCAGCAGAATGGAGGTGAGGGGAAGATGCCGGTTGTGAGGGAAGACCCAGCATCGCACACTGTGGGGCAGGGGGGGCGGCGAAGTGACCAACGCTTCTTGAATGGGATCGAGGGGTCAGGAAAGCGTCTCTGGGTTTGCTTGTATCGAACCCCATTAAGAAGTCAGAGGTGGGTCAGTTCTTGAAACACAGACACACGGCTCCCAGGGATCTGCGGTCATGGTGGTCCAAGTGACGGGATAAATATAAAGATTCAGAGTTTTGGCTTCCCTTTCTTGATTTCCTTCATTTATACCCCGCCTTTCTCTCCCCAAGCGGCCGACATCGTTCACCTCGCCTCCATTGTATCCTCACAACAACCCTGTGAGGTAGGCAGTGCTCCCTCTAAGCTGTGGAGTCTCATGAGCAAAAATTCTACTTTGTGAGCTACTGGCATTACAGTTGTGAGCGAGCGATTTGGCTGCTGCATAAATTAGCTTGCTCTGGAGCCCTCCTTCCTGAGCTAAGACAAAAATGTGTGAGCCAGAGGCTAGAAAACTGTGAGCTAGCTCACACTAACTCAGCTTAGAGGGAACATTGGAGGTAGGTTAGGCCAAGAGCGTGTGACTGGCCAAGGTCACCCAGCAAGCCTCTGCGGGACAGAGGGTATTCGAACCTGGATCTCCAACACCGTAGTCCAGCACTCTAACCACTACACTGCAATGGGCTTTGTCACACCACACTGTCTGTTAAAAACAAACACAAGTTTCTGGTCCTTATGACTGTCGAAACCGCTGAGCCACTCCCTGCCTGCTGAGGTTTCAGAAGCTAGAAGGGGACTAAGCAGGACTTGCTGAGGTTTGCGAGAGGCTTTTTGCCAGGGCTCTTTGTATCTCCTTAGTTTCTATTTCCTGGCAGAACAGAGATGGAATAGAAACAAATTTTTCGAAATTAAATTATATGATATTGTGTGTGGAACAGTCAGGAGATCCCAAAGGATTGTTTGGCGGCCTGAAGCTGTAACTCTTTTTTGGCACCACTAGGTGGCGAGCTGTGCTTGCTTTTAGGCTGAGAGTGCTGTGACTTGACCAAGCTGGCTTCAAGGGAGGAACTGGGGAATTTAACCCGGTTCTCCAGGCTAGAGTCCGCCACGCTTAACCACTACACCAAGCTGGCTCTCTAATAGAAGCCGAAGACCATGCGCAATGCTAGCCTTTAATGTTCAGTATGAAGCCTGTAGATGCTGGTCTCCATCCCTCGCTTTGTGAACCTTCTACATTTCAGTCTTTAGCTTCTAGCTTTGTGATCTGACCTCGGGAAGGAACCCGAGGGGGGGGGCTGCCAAACACCCTCTTCCGGCCCAGATCCAGGAATGGCTCCGTATCCCGTACTCAGCCTGCCAACCTCCAAGTGTGACCTGGAGATCTCCCGGAATGACAGCTGATCTCTAGACTTACAGAGATCGGCAGCTTCGGAGGGGTAGATGCTATGGCAGGTGTCCCCAAATTTTTTTTGAGCCTGTGGGCACCTTTGGAATTCTGACACAAGGTAGTGGGCGCAACCACCCAATGGCTGCTGCAGGAGGCAAGAGCCAGCCACAGGTTGTCAGGGAGCGAGGTCGCACATCCTTTTGACGTGGTGGTGACAGCTGCTGCTGAAACTTTTTTTAAAAATTTGCACAGCCGGTGAGATCTCCAGTGGCCGATTGGGAGCCCAATCAGAAGAAGACTTGGTGGGCGCCCTGACGTGGATAGCCCAGGCAAGCCCGACCTCATCAGGTCTCAGACAAGAAGCACGGCCGGCCCTGGCAAGTACTTGGAAGGGAGACCTCCAAGGAATACCAAGGCCGGGACGCAGAGGCAGGCAATAGCAAGCCACCTCTCTGAAACGTCCACGCCCCACTAGGGAGTCGCCAGAAGTCAACCATGACTCCCAGCAGGGCTCTTTATGTAGAAAAAGCCCAGCAGGAACTCATTAGCATAATAGGCCACACCCAACAGCAGAAACACATTAGCACATTAGGCCACACCCCTGACAGCACAGCTCATTAGCACATTAGGCTGCATCCCCATGTTACCAGAAGTGTGGTCATCCAGCCACACCCACCTTTTGCTTCTTATTCTGTTGACCTTGTTTGTGGTCAAAACCCAGGGCTTTTTTTGTTGCAGGAACTCCTTTGCATGTTAGGCCACACACCCCTAATGTAGCCAATCCTAATGACTTCCTGCTGTTGGGTGTGGCCTATTATGCTAATGCGTTCCTGCTGGGCGTGGCCAACTCGGGAGCCAGCCGGAACTCCGTTCCTGTGCATTCCTG